TGCGACACATCGATTGATTTGCGCCTTACACCCATGGAAAAGGATCGATAAACGGTGAGTTCGCAATGAACACCTCAATAATCGATCCTTTACCACAGCTTCAAATGGAGAGATATCGATAATCGATTATTCACACCTCGCTACTGACACGAGTAAATTTTAATTTGTCAGGCACACTCCAAAGGCAGTTTTTTTCCTGCCTCAACCTCTTCGGCCGTATGAAAAATATTTCTCTACCCTTTATAAATCGGGTTGCCGAATTTAATCGTAATGTCCTCTTTTAATTTCATTTGGATCACTTATTTCGAAAACTACCCAACTTCGAGAAAAGAGAAATTCCAGAAAACGAAAGAGCTAAAATCGATGGAATATTGGCGATGAAGGGGAAACATCTTTGACGCATGCCATTCAGTTCTCGTGGGGAATCTCAGAGGCAATGTTGTGAAACTCTTTGGTATTTTAGTGATACAATTGAATTTTACTTGAATTTTGAGTTGGACACACTGGGATTTATATTTTTTTCGAGTTATTAGGCGGATTTCGACGCAGGGTATTCACTACGAGATTGGTGCATATTTTGGACGGCGTTATGTGGCAGCCAATTAGGAATTGCCGAGAAATTGCAATTTACTTGAATTACCAAGAAATTGCAATTTACTTTTGTTGAATAAAAATATTTACAATTTCAGAAGTTAAGATAGAAGATGGAACGCGCTAATTATTATGATTGGAATTCCAACAGACGTTGTTTTATTTTGTCCTCGAATGCACGGTACCAGCTAACACACTTGCGAATGCGTGTAATGAAATCGGTGACCTCAGTGGGGTTTGGTTCGTACAGGCAACTAAGCTAAGTACAGAATTTGAAGGCACTCCAAAGATTGGGATTTTGCAGTCCATAAACAAATGATATCTTTAAAACATTGTGCGAATGGGCCTGTTGCAAACTTTTGCTAGAGCAAAACTACGAGTTGTTTCTTATAGATAATGCCTCAAAAATCACGATGAGCGCATCGGCAAAGTCTGAAATGCACTTATAACTTCACAATCTGCGTAAGAAATTTGCGGTTTTTTGAGCTTCCCGCTTCAAAAACGATACTACGGCTCAGGTGAACATATTGTTAGAGGAGTCGTTCCATCGTCTGCAATACTCATCATGGCCGACACCAATCCGCCAAAACACGTGTGATGGTACGAGATAACACCTGAACAGGATTAGACCAAGTAACAATCGGCGTGTTTACGTTCATATTTTTCTCGCCCGCCTTGATTGACCTTGAACTCTCCTCGAATTACGCGCAGAACTGCGCAAGCGTCGGCCATGATGAATATTGCCGACGATGGAGCGACTCCTCTAACAAAATGTTCACCTGTGCCGTAGTATCGTTTTTGAAGCGGGAAGCTCAAAAAACCGCAAATTTCTTACGCAGATTGTGAAGTTATAAGTGCATTTCAGACTTTGCCGATGCGCTCATCGTGATTTTTGAGGCATTATCTATAAGAAACAACTCTTATTTTTGCTCTAGCAAAAGTTTGCAACAGGCCCATTATTACAATTTGACGAGTCAGCATGCATGCCGGCAAAAGCATTGCAAAGTTTTTGCAATTGCTAAATGCCTGTAGCATGTAAGTTGATAAACGGCTAATTTTGATGAAGACAATTGATCCCATCAATTTTTCACCTAGAATTCTCAAATTTATTGAATTCAACTGAGTTTGTGGGGAAAGACCTCCTTTTTCATCTCTACTTCCCCATGAATTCTATTCTAAAAATACTTTTTCTATTAAAAACATCGATTAAACCTGTGGGAAGTGTATTTGGTTTATTGGATCTCTTGCGAGCAGCAGACTCATCGTTTCTTTCAAAACACTCGATCCATCTACTCAAAATGGCACGGAAAAAAATGTATTGCTGATTTAACAATTAAATTGTCAAAAAGAAGTGAAAGCCATGTTGGTTCAAATGTATATTATACAATAGTGGGAAGCTAACTCAACCACGGGCGCGGTTAAATTATCATTTTTTTCTTTCTTGTAAAATCTACAGTGAGACATATCTGTCATTTTTTTTAAAAATTTAATTGTTAAATCAACTATGCACTTCTTCCGTGTGTGTTTTTATCGAAATTTCTTAGAGCAATATGGCAAATCTGTGAACAGACGCTTGGCTGAGCTGTTTTATTGCAAACAAATAACGTCGAGGGAACAGTCAATATTTTATGCCATATTCACCCCTCGTCTCGATTATTTTTTTTCCCTCCACCCCTCCCCCTCCCTCATCTCCTCTCCTTCAGCTAGCCGCTTCACCCAGGTTAGAATGCTGCTACGAGCAAGTAAATGCGAAAAAGCGTCCTTTAAAAGGTTCTAATTTTTTCCCACCATATTTAACCGCACGTGCCTAACCTTTCTCAATAAAATCCACTCCTTAAAAAAAAAAAAAAAAAAAAAAAAAAAAAAAAAAAAAAAATCAACAAATAATTACCTAAATAAATAAATAAATAAATAAATAAAATAAAATTCAATAGTGTCAAAATTTTTGGACCGAGTTAATCAGAAAGAAACGTACCCAAATTTTCAAAAAAAATTGAGTTAAGAATTTCATTGAGTTCCACCAGCCGTATATTTTCTCCTAAAACAGAAATTAGTTTGTGATGGGAAGGCTTAAAGTTTATTTTCTACGTTGAGTCTTATGCAGGAATAAAACTCCAAACCTCTTTTCCTCAGTTTCAACTCACTGTGGGTTGGTCCCTTTCTGATGAACTCGGTCCATTTTGAGAATGTTTCGATGGTGTTGTAGCCGATTTCCATGATACGGCTTTCAACTACCCAATTCTAACCTCCGACTGAGCCCGTTCCCCTTAAACTTTTGGAAAATGACCTAGATTTCTGAATATTGCATGATGGATTTTGAATTTTTCTACAATGATAATATGTAGAATTTCATTAACTCATTTACTTACAGTTTCTTTTAGTGTAAATACTCACGATGGACCACTATGTACTTCTTGCGGTAATAGTACGTGAAAGTTGTTGGTTACAATCACTCAACAGTGCCTCTCAGACAGTATAAAGAAAAGCGCCTTCAACACACCGTGTAATCTCAATGAAAAAGTGTGATACCACTATTCGTACGCCATATGGCAGTCATTTTGCATAGCCGGCTAATTGAAGGCGAATCGTTGATTTCCACTGGATCATTGGACAAGGCACGAAGTTAAGCATTCTGCTACATGTTTTTTATCAGGAATTTCACGTAGAGCACGATTTGCGCAACGGAAATTACTAAAATTAGGGCCTATTTATGATATTCACTGATTCTTAACGCGTGAATTTAAATCTCTCGCTCATGAAAGTGCAACGGCCTACGTGAGTTAAATCACGCACTAAACATCACCGCAAAAGTCTCTACGGTATGGAAATATGGCAACCTCTAACTTGGTACTTTAGCTCAGCCGTTGCTTGTTGTTAACACTTTAAACAGCAGATGGAAGGGTGGTAAAATTGCTCGATAAATAGTCTTGTCAAAACTGTTGTGCACGATTTGACTCGCGTAGAGTACTGTTTTTCTTGTGACCGGGCAGTTCGAATTTCCCGTGAACATTGTAAAATAAAAACGTTAATATCTTAGCTAGGAGTTGATTTCAGTAATTTTCGATAAGAGAATCGTGTTCTACGCGATATCTTGATTAACAAACATGTATCAGAATGCTTAAATTCGTACCTTGTGTAGTGGTCTAGGAAGTATTCATACAAGAAAAACACACGAAGAAATGTAGCTCAAACTGTTTGTAACAAGGTGATAAAATAGTTCTGATAATTTGGTAAGTTTATAATTTCCTTAAAGCAGCGGTCAGAAAGTATATACCCATGATTTATGTCTCTAAGTCATTTTTGGGCTTAAATGATTACTTCCATAGATCACATAGCTTACACTGAATTTTTCAATAGATTTTTCTTCAGTGCGTCAGTCTGATCAGGTGCCGCTAATAAAATAAATAATGCTGAAAATCTAATTTCTTTGATCTCCTTCTCCCCAGCACCGAGTGCTCTTAACGAACACCTCAATAATCGATTCTTTACGACAATTTCAAATGGGGAAATATTGGTTATCGATCATTAACGCCTTTCCATTGTCGTACGTGAAAGTTTTTGGTGAACGTCATTGACAGTGTCACTTGGATAGTATAAAGAAAAGCGCCTTCAACACACTGTGTAATCTCAATTCTCAATGAAAAAGTACGATACCACTATTCGTACGCCATGACAGTCATTTTGCATAGCCGGCTAATTGAAGGTGAATCGTTGATTTCCAATGGATCATTAGACAAGGCACGAAGTTCAGCATTCTGCTACATATTTATTAACATAAATTTCACGCAGAGCTAGCGCACGATTTGCGCAACGGAAATTACTAAAATGGAGATGTTGCATGTGAGAAATTTGCGATTTGACCATTGATTCTTATCTGAAAGTTCGCGAAAAACACGATGGTGCAACTGGTTTTCTCTGAAATCATCTCCCAAGCTCAAAAAAGCTTTCAAGTTGAGGTCAAAATGGAGGGAATATCCCACGCTATCCTGAGAGTCCACCTCTACATCAAGACAAACCCTCCATGCAAAGATAGGAAGCAAATACATTGACAGGGCTGCCACTTCCTTTGGGGACTCCAAAACTGAAAACACGGCAACCCTACTAATGTATTTGCTCCCTATATCTTTGCATGGAGGGTTTGTCTTGATGTAGAGGTGGACTCTCAGAATAGCGTGGGATATCCCCTCCATTTTGGCCTCACCTTGAGAGCTTTTTCTGAGCTTGGGAGTTGATTCCAGAGACAACCAGTGGCACCACCGTGTTTCTCGCGAACTTTTACATATGAATCGATAGTCAAATCGCAAGTTCCTCATACATGCAACATCTCCATTACAGCCTTTGTTGGACCTTTGTAGGGTGTTTGTTCTTTATCTTATTACGAGTGTGTAATGCGTGGTTGCGTGTTGCAGAGGGGAAGGCGATGGCGATCAAGTACGACTGCAAGTTCATCGAGACCTCGGTGGGGATCAACCACAACGTGGACGAGCTCCTGGTCGGGATCCTCTCGCAGATCCGGCTCAAGCTGGACATGCCCCCGGACGGAGGGGTCGGCGAGCGGGAGGCGCCCTACCGACGGAGGAGTCGCTCGCCGATGGGGCTAGGCTGCGGGTTCCGCAAGTACGGCAGCGGGCGCCTCTCCGCCTCGCTCAAGGTCAAGGGGCTCCTCAGCAAGGTCTGGGCGCGCGACTCCAAGTCCAAGTCCTGCGAGAACCTCCACGTCCTGTGAAGCTCCCAGGTGGCCACGTCGAGGGAAGGTTGAGGATACAGAACGCCGAGTTGGGGAAAGGTTGAGGATACAGAACGCCGAGTTGGGGAAAGGTTGAGGATAAAGAGCGCCGATTCGAGGAAAGGTTGAGGATGAAGATCGCCGAGTTGAGGAAAGGTTGAAGATGAAGAATGCCGAGTCGAGGGAAGGTTGAGGATACAGAACGCCGAGTCGAGGAAAGGTTGAGGATGAAGATCGCCGAGTCGAGGAAAGGTTGAGGATACAGAACGCCGAGTAGAGGAAATGTCTATATCAATAAAGCAAGCGAAAATTCATTCTTTATATCATCAGGATGACTGTATCATTGGAATAATCGAATTGTATCGGAACTGTATCATCCCTGGTAAAAATTGGCAGTAGAATCTGTGTTCCAAAATACCATAGACCTACGGCCGGCTGTAAGATTTCCAATAGCTTCTATAGCCGGCAACACAATTTCTTATAGCCTTTTATAGCCGATGGCGACTAAGCAGCTCACAGCTAGGCGATAAAGTGTATGCTGAACGTCACTAAGTACGGATGCTAGGACTTAGTGAGTTTTTGGACCACTGCTCTCTTTTTGGGCCGTAGTATCTTGATTTATTTTTCGAGGAAAGCTCCGTACTTTTGATGGATGCCTGCCATTCCTAATATATTAGAGCGCCTTCAGTTTCGTATGATACTGTGCAATACCTCTGGTGTGAAATAGTTGCTTCACAGGACGTGGCACGCTGCGGCGCGGCGCGGCGGGCGGGCAGCCAGCGCGAAATGCGCATTAGCGCCTACAAACCTACCAGGGATACTTCACGCGTTGCGCAATGCGTGAAGTATCCCTGTTAGGTTTGTAGGCGCCAGTGCGTCGCCGCTCCGCTTTGTGTTAGGCTCTAATATTTAATCTGGCGGAGTCAGCGTTATTCAACTCATGATTTTGAAATGTTTGCACATCCTTTATGGATTATTCTCGTTTTAATTGATGAAAAAAAATATGTATTATAGGAAAATATAACGTGTGTTTTGTAAATATTAAGGTGGTTCCGTATCAAACTTAATGATTTCCGAAGCACATGAATTTCTACACAATTTCTTATAGCCTTTTATAGTCGATGGCGAAAAAGCAACAGCCAGAGGCGATAGAGTGTAAAGCCCGGCTATAGGAACTATAGCCCGGCTGCATAATTTTTTATCGCTTCGTATAGCCCGGCCGTATGATTTTCTCCGCATTCTACAGCCAGCTATATGATTTTCTGTAGCCTTCTTTAGCCGACTATAAGAATTCCTATGGTATTTTGAAACGCAACTCTTATCGCCAATTTTTACCAGGGATTGGAAAGTTACTTGAAAATGATTGGGTAAATTTCATTTTCTCCTAATCGAAAAACAATTTGCACGATCCTCTAGTTGTTTGTTCCTCCCTGCTAAAGTGGAATAAATTTTGCAATTATAGAAACTTAAATTTCTGGCTCAGTTTGAAAACAACACGAACGATGAACGTTTGAACGATGGTAAAACCACCACATCACGCATCACGGTTTTCTACGTTGAAGGCTTCCCATCAAAATTTAATTTTTGGATGTAAAAGTACTCAACGTCAATTCTTAAAAACTTCTGTGATTTTTCTTCTTCATGCTAAGAAACCTCTTTTAAAACTTCAGGGAGTAATATTGATTCATTCTCCTTCAAAAAATAAAAATGAAATGGGAACAGCGATTTTTAAACACTGCAAACGAGATAAGTGGTCTGGTAATTTCACGGTCCATAAGCACTGCATTATTTTCCCTACAGACATTTATTTACAAATTAGAAATTGTAGCTCCTATTCGCAAAATGTAGTCCAACTCTTGGTCTGGTTTTTTAGGCTTTCGCGTATTTCAAAGAATTCGGCATTAAAATTGAGAATTTATCTAATTTTCCTCCTCTCAAAAGTGATATAAAAATTTTAAACATTAAAACATCTAAACATTTAAATGAATATAATTATGACCCCCAATATTGCCGTGCTAAGGAAAAACACCGTACGAACATTCGAGAGTTGCCAAATTTCCCTCCATAAAATGTTCATTTTTGCAGAATGTTACGCATATTTTTCCTTGAAATTTCCTCATGTTATAGATGAAATTGTCAACAAAATCGCCTGAACAATTGGAGGAATATTACTCAAAATTTTCCCCGTTAAATATAGTTTTATTGAAGGTAACATGGACCGCGTTAAACAGAAAAGAAACCAAGCCACATCAGCTATTGCCAAATTTTTAATTTCATTTTTTGCGAGAGAACGTTTGTGCGGATTCCTTTAAAAATTTTAAGGAATTTGCTTTGTATTATGGAGAAAATTCATAGGAATTTGCACAAAAATCCGCACAACCGTTTTCATGTAAAAAAATTAAATTGCTAGATTAAATTTGGCAATAGCTGATGTGGCTTGGTTCCTTTCTGTTAAACGCGGTCCATATGGCAACGCCTAAAGGCTCATACGGCGTTCTTCCTTAGGACGGCAGAGTGTTTGCCCCCTCTTTCCAAACCGCAACGAGAGGGAGTGCAGGAACCTGCCTCCGACCGAGTAAATTTTAGATTACATCCTCTTTTGTTTCCCATTATTACTCCGTCAGGAATAATAAACGACCGAGTTGCCACCACAGCACGTTCACGTCAGTGTCGACGTGAATTTCGTCGACTCACGAATCCTCTTTCCGTAATTTTTCCATCTTACGCTACGGCGCACAATGGTACGAGGCAACGGGAGAAGTCGGACAAAATTTCGAAACCTTAAAAGCTCAAAACGCCATCATTACGAAATGTTGACGTCTTAAAAGTGATCCCATTGGGTTTCTAGTAAAATAGACATCATAAAACACCCCTCAAACTTTAAAATTCGACGAAATAAACGTCTAAATTTGCAGTTTTAGTCATATAAGTCATAAAATGTCTATTTTTGCGAAATGTTATGCATATTTTTCCTTGAAATTTCCTGATGTTACAGATAAAATTGTCAACAAAATTGCCTGAACAATTGGATCGATAATATTTACTATATATAATTGGAAATAATTGGTACAATACTTTACGGGGAAAATTTTGAGTAATATTCATCCAATTGTTCAGGCAATTTTGTTGATAGTTTCATCTATAAAATCAGGAAATTTCAAGGGAAAATATGCATAACATTTCGCAAAAATGGACATTTTATGGAAGGAAATTTGGCAACTCTCGAATATTCATACGGCGTTTTTCATTTCATGTCCGACCGCTTTCACTGACTCGATCCACTGTGCGCCGCGTTCCTCAAGTGGAAAGCCGAAGAGCTATGGTAGTAATAATCTGCTTTGCCAAAGCGCATCTGAGCCATACTCTAATCTAGCCCAGTCGATGTCAAAACCTCACATGTCCGTCCTCCGATGAGCCATAGCCTGTAAGGATACTTACGCACCAGGGTTTATCTGATTACGTGCTCACGATGTTTTGAAACTTATGGATTCAGATTTCTGAGGGATGCAAGTGCTTCATTGGAGGATGAGCCTAAGTCCTTTCGGATTGTGGAGAAGTCGTCTCTGACTTAAGGGCGTATGGCTATCTCCACATGAGCTCTGGAAAGCACAGAACTATACGAGACATAGGGGTCACGTGGTAATTGAGATACACCCTTGCGACCAAGTCTCCTTGGTGCAGGGGTAGTGTGCTTAGCAATTTTGAGTCACAAGATGCTGTAAACTCTTATCAATGTTTCCTGCTCTTCGAATTTACGGGGAGAGGAGTTTTTAACGATTAAACTTCTCGTCCTGTAGTTAGATTAGACGTGGATAAAGGAGGAGCTCAAGACCTGTCTCTGAAATATGAAAAGGCTCTGTTTAAAATAGAAAACTCCCGTGGAACTTCGGCTATAGGTTCTTTAATAAGCACACCGAAACTTTTCCTTTCGTTAAACTACATTTTGCAATTAGGAACTATAATTTTTGGATAAGTTTAGAAACAACGTACCTGTCATTTCTCTCTCACATAGGTATGGATTGCATTTTGCAAAAAGGAACCACTAGCTTTGCAATGTTGCTAAGATTGTGCAACTTCTTTTGTCTTGGAGGAAAAACCCGATTATCCATTAATAGTTTCTATTTTACTCGGTAAAAAGTGTAAATTTAAGACACAAATTACCATCTAAATTTCATAGTTTTTCACGATTTCCGAAATTTTATTGCAAAAGACAGTACAATATTAGCATCATTGCAATGCTAGTGGTTCCTTTTTGCAAACTGCAATCCATTTATCGGTCAATTTTGTCATCGAACAATTTTGCGCTGTTTTTTGTGTGGTGATCGTTGTATTGTTGAAACTAAATTCGACTAACTGGACAAAAGGATTTGAGAGACAAGAATTTATGATAGATCACATCATTTTGAATCATCTAAGTTCCATTTTTGTGTGTAATATATTTTTGGGATGAGTTATTTCAATAGTGTTCTAAAAAATTAAAATAATTCAGGAGCAGCATTTCAAACGATGCGATGTAATTTTCCCGGCCGGTAATTAGCAAATACTAATTGCCATAATATGTTTCAATTTTTCACTCTCTGCGTACAAATCCACGGCCACACCTGGGAAAATAACAATCGAGGTAGATCTTCAGCGATGTATGATGTTCCTTGATATCTTGTAGATTTCCAGCCATCATGAATAGTATTTCCAGGGTACCGAATTCAGTCTATAGATCCATCGTTAAAAAATGGTGAGACAAAGAAAAACATCCTTTAAAGCCGTAAAATAAGTCGGAAAGCTCTGTTTCCAATATTTAACCGATTTAAATGTATCAATATGAAGGATTGCATTTTGCAAAAAGGAGCCAGGAGCAATGCAAAGTTGGTAAGATTGTACAACTTCATACATTGCAATAACTATTGAAATCCTGAAAAAATATGAAATTTACATGATAATTTTTGTCCTAAATACAGTTTTAAAATAGAAACTGTTTACAGATCATCGGGTTTTTCTTTCAAGACAAAAGAAGCCGCACAATCTTAACAACATTGCAATGCTCCTGGTTCCTTTTTGCAAAATGCAATCCAAATGGGATAAGTTCTCTTGACAATATTTAAACGATTTGAAAGAGGATTTTTGGAATTAGCGTCCTTCAGTGATTGATCCAGGGATTAAAATTTTGGTATTACGCAACCCTTCAACCTTTCTCTCGGGAGGCAAGTGGAAGATTAGATTTTAAAATTTCGCAAGGAAGTAGTCTTAACCTATGCAGAAAACTGCACGGAAGATAGTTTGAAAAACGTGTGGCCAGGGTTGAGCGGGCTTCCAAAGCCTAATTGGCGCAAGATGGTGGCAGTTCGTGAGTGACGAATGAACTATTTATGTAAATGAGTTCGCTACCGAACGAT